TGAAATTTATAAAAATTTTTATTTTTATTTTTTGTATTATTTATGAGTGAAAAATTTAAATTTTTATTAGAGAAAAAATTTAAAAAATATTTTTAAAAATAAAAAAAAAGTGAACAAAAAATGAGTAAAAAAAATTTATAAAAAATATAAATTTGAAATTTTTTAAAATTTATTGTTTAAAATTTTTTTATATTTAAAAAGAAATTAAAAAATATAAATTTTTAAGAGAGGAATTTAAACTTATAAAATATGAATAATATCAAAAAATTAAAACTCTTACCAACTTCACCAAACATGCTTTAAAAGAGAAATGACAATGAGGAATTTAATATATATTATCAAATTAATTTTATTTATTTTTAAATTTTGCATCATTGGTGATAAATAAACTCAAAAGTTTGACATAAATTAAGAAATTTTATAGAGTATATTATATATTTATTTATTTAAATTCACATAAAAATATAATGAATCAGTAAAAAAAATAAGTTTGATATAATTTAAAAAAGTATATGGAATAAGTCAAAAAATCCTATTATCATATAAATGGTAAAATTCTTAGATATATATTAATTTAAATTATATATCATATGATTATGGTGAAATCCGATACATCAAAATTTTGACTCTTGATGTCATTTAAAGTCAATTTAGTTTTTTTTTTTTTTTAAATTAGTTTAGTTAAATAGTTCACTCAAATAATTTAATTTCAATTATTAATTCAAATAAAATTAGAATTAGTTAATTTTGATACTTAATTAATTATTAGACAATACTTAATTTTCATTATTATATTTCTTGAAGTGACCAATAATTTGGTTAAAGTGACATTAGCTCATTATCAATACAACTAATTTTTGACTATTTTTGCTTTTATATAGATAAAATTATCTTGCCTTTATAAAATTAGTCACAACAAGAGAAATGATTATTTTAGCTAAGTATTAAATAAATAAAAATATATATTCATATTTAAATGGTTTTTACAATTCAAACTTCAAAAATAAAATTTTGTAAAAAAACAAAAATATATATATACCATATTTAACATTTTTTATAAGTTTAGGGGTGATGGCCCCTTTATCATATATTGGCTGTGTCTCTAGACTGGAATCTAGTTAATGTTGGTAAGGAAGGAACGAGAACCACAAATTCATCTGAGTGAGAATTCATTCAACAATATAAGCATGGAAGAGTGGTGGACTAATATGAACTACAAAGTAAAGTTGGCTTGAGTTTAGAAGGCACACTTGATAGTAGCAGAATGGGCAATCCACACATTTTGGTCATACCTTATCCAGCTCAAGGTCATGTGAGGCCTCTCTTTGAACTCTCACAATTGTTGGTCAAAAATGGCATCAAAATCACCTTCGTGAACACTGAATTTTCACATCAACGAATCATAAATGCATTTGGAAGCAAGGTAAGTGTAGATGGTTCAATTCGTTTTGTCTCACTTCCAGATGGGATGGGTGTGGATGAGAATAGGAACCAAATAGGGAGATTACTTGAATCTATCTGCCAATTTATGCCCATGGAGTTGAAGCAACTTATAAATGAGATAAATAGATCAAATGGTGATGAAGTTACGTGCATATTGACTGACATGTCTATGGGGTGGCCGTTAGAAGTAGCAGCAGAGCTGGGAATAAAGGCAGCGGCTCTATTCCCTGCATCAGCATTATCTTTAGCCTCAATGTTTGCCGTCCCAATGATGATTGATAGTGGAGTTGTTGATGAAAACGGTGAGATTTTAGGAATCTTAAAGCATATTTTTCAAGATTTCCTCAAATAATTTCTAAAATTTTCTTTGTAGGTACCCTACTTAAGCATGAGATGATTCAATTGTCCTCAGAAACTCCTGCCATTAACCCATCACATTTTTCGTGGGTATGCATCGAGGGCTTCACAACCCAAAAAATTGTATTTAACCTCTTCCAGAGGAACATCAAAGCTATAGAGAAAGCAGAGTGGTTGCTCTCCAATTCCACGTATGAACTAGAGGCTGGAGCATTAGCCACCATGGCCCCAAAAGTCCTACCCATTGGCCCGCTTTCGACATATGAGGGAGTTGGAACTTTTGCTACAAATTTCTGGCCGGAGGATAGTTTTTGTTTGAAATGGCTTGACAAACAACCACCACGCTCAGTCATATATGTTGCATTCGGTAGCTTCACAGTTCTTGATCAAACACAGTTCCGGCAATTGGCATTAGGGCTTCAACACTCCAACAGACCATTCTTATGGGTTGTGAGACCAGATATAACGGAGGCAAAAGAGGAAGCATACCCAAAAGGGTTTCAGGCTAGCGTGGTAGATCGTGGTCAAATGGTGGGTTGGGCGCCACAACGAGCAGTTTTGAGTCATCCTTCCATTGCTTGCTTCCTAAGCCATTGTGGTTGGAATTCAACCTTAGAAGGCGTAAGCAACGGAGTCCCTTTCCTTTGCTGGCCTTACTTCGCTGACCAATTCATGAACGAGAGTTACATTTGTGAGATTTGGAAGGTGGGATTAAAATTGGAGAAAGATGAAAGTGGGATCATCCGACAAGAAGAGATCAAGAGCAAGATGGAGAAACTATTAGGCGATGAAAATCTAAAAGCGAGGGCTATGGAACTGAAGGAAAAAATTAGGACTGGTGTCAAGGAAGGTAGCTACTCTGACAAGAATCTCAAGAGTTTCATTGAATGGGTGAAGTCGTAGGCAAAGTTATTAGTATTTTGATTTCCTGATTTCCTCTGTTAAGGAATAAGGAGATTCATTTGCCTTAGTGAGTGATTGATCCAATAATATCTTTAATTATGATTTAATTATAATATTAATGAGTAGATTATATTTAGGATATTTTAATGTAATTGATTTATTTTTATATTTGTTTACCTGAAGTCTATATAAAGACTATTATATGTAACTCTCTAAATAAATCTAAATTATAATAAAATGCTTTTCTTATGCTTTAAACCTTAATATATATCCTCATAGCTAGAGGACTGCATCTTTTTTGCTGCACTATGGCTTTGATGGAAAGATAGGAACAAATACATTTTGAGAATTCAAGGACAGCTCCTCAAGTTCTATGTTTACAGATGGTTCAATACGCCCGATGGACTTCTTTGGCTCAGAACATTGTGATTACAGGCAATGCAAGGAACTAAGGGAGGTTAGATGGATCAGGTGGCATCCCCCTGATGATGGAATCTTCAAGATAAATACGAATAGATCTCTATCCTATACTTCTAGAATGGCTAGCGGTGACGGTTTGATGAGAAAAATTCAAATCGTAGATGGGTGTTCATGGGTTCTTGGTGAACATAGGTCGAGTTATTGGGCTTAATGGAGGGCCTTCGACTCTGTTGCTCGCTCTCAAGGCTAGTGGTAGAAATGGACCCTTCTATTGCTGTTAATCTCATTTTTGAGGAAAAAGAACAATCTGAAGTGCTTGCAGCTTTAGTTTTGGATATCAAATTATAAAAAAAATATAAAAATTCAATAAAATCAAAAATTATATTCATAAATTTTTTGTTAATTAAATTATATATATATAAAAGAATCAAACAAAATTTAATACAACTATCAAGTCCTACAACAATATATTTATGAAATA